CTACTTCTAGGGCTGCAACTAATGCTCAATTTAAAATGATTTTCTTGATTTATTACTTAATCATTTAATCATTTCAAAAACTGTAACAAATGGGATTCACAACTGGAACAACTGGAACCAGAAAATGGCTGGAAACATTACTGAAACAATTAAGAAAATATCAAAATAGTCTCTTATTAATTCTTTGTCAGTCAGCTAACCGATTAAATAATTGTTGCAGCTTTAATTACTTGCTTTTAAAGGGTCACAGGCAAAGAAGTTTCAAAGTGTTCTACAGTTTATGTAGACACTCAGGGTTGTGGAGTATTGGAAAGCTGGTTATGACAAATCAAAAAAGTGCATATAAAGACAAAACAAGTCATGCTGGACACTAGCCAAAGGGATTTAACCACCTAACAGAACACACTAAACACTGCATACTGTAATGCATTATAATATAAAGTAGCTGATGAGATTAGTGCGCACACTGTATTACAACCATGTTTCCTTTAACTTTTGCATTTACTGTCACTAAAACTGCTTTCACTCTTGTCAAATCCCAGTCATAAACCGTAAAGGTCTCGTTAATAGGTTTGGTCATATGCTGCAGTATACTCACAGGTCTGACAAAAATCTCATGCTTGAATTATTGTTGAACCATATCTTGCTGCGCAGCAGAACGATCTTGTTGTTGTCCCTGTGTTTGTTCGGTCCGTACCACCTGGCCACAGGCAATGACGCTGTAGTTTAGCAGCCTTAATGTAATTAAGCAGATTAGGGTCACAGTGCAGCGCAGTGATCTCTAATGATCTCCAGCTTAGTGGCAGTCAGTGTACACTGTCACGGCAGGCCCTTGTTGACAAGAGTTTGTTTAAATTCTCCTGAGTAGGATTTTATATTACTACAAAATGAGTGGCAAGTTTCTGCTCAGATGATGTTGAAGAGGCCAAATGTAGCAGGAATCTTGTGTTCTCCTGGTCACTAGATGGTGCCACAGTCCTCCTTTGCATATTAGCATCAACAGTGGAGATTTGTGGCTTCGTGGTCATTATGTGTTGAGCCAACCGTCAAGGACCTGCTAGAGAACAGCACAATAGAGAAGTTTTTTAAACCTGATCTTTTATGAGAACAGTCTGTATGAGTGGTCTTAACATTTTATTATAATATGTAACCTGCAATGACAAATCTAAACTGTGTGTGACTTAAACAGCTGTCTTTGAGATTATGCTTCACTAAATGTACACCGATCAGCCATAACATTATGACCACCTGCCTAATACTGTTTA